ATTATCTAGGCCCTAGCTACCTCTTCACCTCTTGCAATGAATGAGTCTCCCGTCACGTTCTAGCTTCACCAAGATGTGCCCTACACAGCTCTGTGCTCTTGACCCTTCTGTGTGCTTCCATGGGGTCCCCTTCACCACCTAACCTCACTCTCGTTGGCAAAATTCTACCCTTATTTTTTTTTTTAATTTCCATTCTGCTGTCTTTCCTAAGTCCCTCGGGCAGACTTGGGTGTTTTTTTCTCCACGCTAGCCTGTCATCTCACACTTACCTTCGTTGCAATAATTACCACTTCACATCGTATTTGACACTTTACCTGTCAGGTAAGTTCCCTCGAGTTGAAGACAGGGACTGTTTCCTATTTATCTCTACCCACCCAGTGTCTGCCCAGGGCACAGCATACCATTTTGCCCATACGACGGGCTCTTTTATACCTCTCTGCTCTCTGTCTCCGTGGAGGGAGTCATTTATCTTTCCTCCCTAAACATTTGGCTAAAATGCATTTTATCTGTGATATTTTTCCCTGATTACACTGACTTCCCTCTCCTCACTCCTTCATTTCATCATGTCCTCAGGGCTTGGAGAAGACTCTTCCAACAAACAGATTTGTGCTTTAATGCTTTCGATTCGATTCTTGCTCCTAGCTCAACCACTCTGAAACGTTTAGGGAGCATCTGCTGAAATCATCCACAGAAGTGTGGTTTTAAAAATTAATTTCCGTTCAAACACCTATTTTTTTTAATGCTTGGAGAAGCAGTCAGGCTTCTTGCCCTTCCCAAACCAAATACCCTGTCAGTGCGCGATATGGGCAGAAAGAACGGAGAACACCGAATCATCTACAGTGAGACTTCTGAAAGCAAATGAGGCGAAGACTGAACTAAAGGAAGCCACCCAGCTCCTTAAAATGCTTCAGAAGGACCAGAAAGAAATCAATCTGCCCACGGGACTTCTAGAATGGACTAACCCGTTGGACTGCTGAAAACAGATGTCACACAAAATATCCAAGAAGATGCTTTCGTCAGCTCGGTGCCCTGAAACTTACCCAGGAGACTAAAGAAGTAAAAATGGAAAGGCTACACTCCCTACACTGCCCGCTGCTTCCTAAATACTCCTCTTTTTTACTAGAAACTATATTTTCCCGAGCTTGACTCAAAAGTTCTTGGAGGCCAGTAATAGCATATGTTTCTTTTATAGTTCCCAAGTTGCCCACCCCACTAAATACGTAGTGTTGGCTCAAGAAATGCTTTGTTGTCCACTGACCCATCCCCAAGTACTTAACTATTTTTCTTCCCCTCGATATTTTCAGGAATGCTTGTTATTCACAAAAGAGCGCAGTCTTGGAGGCCAAGAGGAAATATTCATCTGTTGGTATACATTTTCCCTTGGCTATGCATTAAACAGAGATTTCCTTTGGAAATGTAAACAAAGGATGCCTGATGAGAAAGGACAAAGAACTATATATAGAGATCAAGTGGCCAGAGTGTGGGGGGGGGGGTCAAAGCATGGCCCTCCCTTAACCAATTTAAAGGAGTCTTCCTTCTGCTCCTGCCTCCTTCCCATGCTCTCTAGCCCCAACCAAAAAATAGTTTCCAACTGCCTATCCCCTGAATTCTGGAAGCTGGGCAGCAACTGGAACAGGCTGATTTACTAAGGAATTCAGCTAAAAAATCTGTGGTGATCCTAATCTCTGTTTCTGTAATAATAGGAAGACTGCAGCTTTGTTTACTTTCTGCGGAGAATAGAGAACAAGAAGAAAGAACCAGGAGAGAGGCAGTATTTACAGCCCCTTTATGAAAAGTCAATCTAAGACAAAAACATTTGCAGACAATAAGGAAGGGGAACAGGTTTGGCAGGAAAATAGTCTATTCCAGTTTTCTCAGAAGTGCCTTAGCTGGTCTCCTCCACCCCCGCCCAACGTGAAAGGCCTGGTTCACACTGTGAATAGAGTCTTTCCCTATAGACAAAGCTGGATTCGATAGAACGCCAAACACACAAATGCACACGCGCGCGTGCGCGCGCGCGCGCACACACACACACACACACACACAAATTCACATCACCCTTTAGTGTCTGGTTCTCATGACAGCCAGTCTCCTACTATTTATTTCATTGTGTAAAGTATTTAGAAGCATTTATGAAGTCTCAATTCCCTTCTTTAACTGCATTTTTAATCCCGGGGCTTGTTCCAAAGCCTTCTGGACACACAGGCTCTGTGCTGAATGAGTATAATAAGTACCCTGGACTCACCCTATTATTATGGGGAAGTTTAGGGCACATCCCTAACCTTTCAGAAGGGATGATGTCATAGAACACAGCCATGCTCTTCCATAAACCATCTTGTGGGCTTTCTGTCAAAGACAGAATCCTAAACTGGAGGGCCTATGGAGTTAACTCCCCAAATACTCTCACCCTTGACGTGTAACATCGGATCTCGTGGTTCTTTGGCAACTGTTGGTTACCAATTTTATGTCATTGTCTCTATTGCCCGCACGTGTATATTCGTAGTGGGGTGGATTTGTGCGACCTATAAGCCATCCGAAGGCAAATATAGTGCCCGCCCGTGCTGTTTTCTTTGTACCTGGTACAAAGCCGTGCATAAGCAAGTATTGGCAAAAGGCGACCTTTTGTGTGGCAGAGCAGACAGCGGCCTACGCACTGGATTTAACAAGCATCTCTAAGGGAGCCTCTTAAGCCTCTCCTTGGCTGGTTCATCGCAGGACGGCTCTTCCCTCCCATTTGGTTTGTACCTGGCAACACTGCTGTCATCTTTTGCAAGGCGCAAGCCAGAGGACCGACTTCAGAAAGGCACTGTTAAGACATCGCCTGTTACCTAGAGGGCCAGAATAAATCCTCCTCTATTAACACAAGGATGCATTGTTTTATGAGACTAGCTCCTCCTTGCTGCTTGAAAAGAGTGGGGCCCTGAATACAAAGGTCTGGCGGGTGCAGTGGGCGGGGAAGGGCTGGAATCGGGCTCTGTCTGGGTGAGGCTGGTCAGAGTGATCAACTTCCCAGGGGTGGGATGATAAGATGTCAGAGAGGTCTCAGGGCAAATAAGCAATGAAAACAAACTGCTTACTTTGCTAATTTGACTACGACTTACACTATACTTAATAGTCTTTTTGATGAGAATGAGGAAGGTGATAATTATAATTTCTAACAACGTTTTATTCACTATTAGCTGTTACCCCACCCTCAGCCATGAGAATTCTAAGCCAAGGGATCCCTTATCTTGTCTCCTGCTTACAATACTTCCTTGTCTCTCCACCAGTGTGGGTTTCTTATACTGTAATCTGACAGCATAATCAGAAGCTTTGATAGAGTGGAACAGAGAGGGAGTCTGAGTAGCTAAAAAGCACTTTAAAATGCCTTCTGTTTTGTTTCTCCCCACACAGTAAAGGATAAAATCAAAGACCAAAGAAGAGAATAAAAAATGTAGCTCGCAGAATCATGACCCGTGAAATCTGGAAGACACATAGAAGGTCAGGGAATCAGTTGAATCCCTTATTTTCACAGGTAAGGACCCTGAAGCAGAGTTGCTGGGTGACTTACTCAAATTCATATCACTGGTTAATGGCAGTGTCAAGACTGGAACCGTATTTTGTAACTTATATTCCAGGGTTCTTTCTTTCCATTCCTTGGGCTTCTTCCTAACTGTCCTGCTATATTTCCACAATCTCGCCCCTGAGTTTAACAGTGTCCTCTACCCCCTCCATATAGCACCACTCTCCTCCACAAACGGAGTGCCCAGCAGGGATTAAATTGTTATGGTACGCTCATCATCCAAGTACACCCTCCTTTAAGAAATGCAAGACCTGGGTATTGCACTGAGGAGGGCATGTGCTCTGATACGCACTGGGTATTATACTTAACTAATGAATCATTGAACACTGAATCAAGGACTAATTATGTACTATACAGTGGCTAACTGAGCATAATTTTAAAAAATTAAAATTAATTAATTAATTTTAAAAAAAGAAATGCAAGGCCTGAAGACATCCAATTAGGAGTGCTTACTTGTATAAGACAATTCTTTTTCTTACTAGAAGATTCTCACACTCCCTTAAGTAGAAATCCCTAGGTAGGATTTACCTTGAACCACCACATTTATCTGTCATACAAGGAAGCTTAGAACTAGACCATGAGGTTGTAAATAGAATTAGAAACCTTTTCATCCAATCACTGCCCAAGAAAAATGCTATAACATTTTATCTGACCCGCTTTAGACTTGAAGCCTTACGGTTACCTCTTTAACAAAACCAACACAAAACCAAATGCTATAGCTGAGGTCCCGTACTCTTGAGAAAGAGAGAGAAATAACATCTCTTTTTCATTACATCCACTGAACTGATGAAAACACTGACTCCTCTGTAAGCTCTGCTCTTTGATGTGCCCTGACGTAGGTAACAGGCTTCGAAAACCTTAGACTGGTATGACACTTTACAATTCACAGACAATTTGAACAGAGAGAGCATTTGTTGATGACAAGAGCAAGTGGGATGGTGATGAGTGAGGACCAAGTGAGGTGCATGGGGACAAAGGGAGGAGAGGCTAAGAACAGGAGAAGCAGTCCTGATAAGTACTCTCACAGACACGATACTGCCCGGAACGAACCTCGCCCTACTCCAAGGACCCTGGATTCCCAGCTGCCCCTGTGAAACCCCAGTGATCTCTTTAGGGAGCTAAGATGTCCAGTTTGATGAGAGAAGAAACACACTGCATGTTAGATTCTCATATTGCCTGCCACTTAGAAAGGAGAACGGATTACCCCCTGGACTGCTGTCTCCCCAGTTCATCGCCCCCACCCATCTATTTCCGTTTAAACAATAGCCATCTGCCATTTTTCTTGGAACAAGCATCCTAAGGGAATGAGACTTCCCAGAACTATCATTGAGCCCTTCACTCCAAATGGCTGAGCTACACTCTTGACAAAACTCAAGTATACCCCAAGGATCACCTGATCCAGTCCCCTGAAAGAATCACAAAAGTTTCCATTACGTACCTCAACTTGCTGGCAGATCTGTATTAGTTTGGCCATTTGATTTTCTAGTTCACTGTTGCGCTTAACCAGGTTGGTGAGGTTCATCTCCAGAGTTTGCTGCCATCGATGAGAGTAGGAAGCCAAAGGGAAACAGGGAAGAGGGGAAAAAATAAGAAACGTTCAGTGAGCTTGAGAACCGATATTAATGTAGAGATCATTCAGTCGGTTGACAAAGAGTCAACCGACTCATTTCAAAGAGACACTGAGCACTTGCTGTGTGGGCCAAGCACTCTCCTAGGAGCTAATTCATAACACTGTGCATTTGCTCCAGGCTCTCGTTATTGCAGGAAAGATGACATTGATGACTTCGTGAATGTAGGAATTTAATGATATTAAGACAACTTTATGTTTTCTACAAGATTTTTAACTTTTTAAAGTATTTCATAGTATTTCATTTTGCCTTCACAGTAACCCAGGGACATAAGGAGAAGAGGTATTATCCTCTCTTTTACAGATGAGGAGACTAAGGGAACTCTGTTGAACAAACAGTACTTGCAGACACTATGCTAGGCAATTTCATCTAATAACCTTAACAGTCCATGAGGTAGGCTACATCAGCATTGAGGACTGAGCTTCAGAATGGGGGCAAAGTGTTCTTTGCTGTCCTGTAATTAGTAGATGACAAAGCTGGGACTAGAACCCAGTTCTCTAGCCTTGGTCACAGCTTTGTCCCAGCATTCATGACTTTTTCTTTTTTTTTTTTTTCTTGGAAACATTTGAGATTTATCAGTAGGTTCCTTCAGGGGAAAAAAAAGATGGTATTTTAACTGTGAGATTCATCAAAATCGAACATTGTATCTCACAGCTTCCCTCCTTTGGCCCTAAGGAATAGTCCCTGGAGATGACAGACTTCAAAACTTGATGCCTGGTGTATCAAGGTAGGACGCCCATTGCTTAGGATTGCTTACTGGGACATAGATGCTTTCACTACATTACAAGCACTTTGCAAATCTCTTTAAAATAACAGAAGTACAACAGTACTCAGAACTCTCAGTGTATTTTCCATTGAGCAAGCTACTCCCTCCCATCCCTTATGTGGAAAAAAAAAAAACCAGAATGTTAGTCACTCTAGGTTGATAATGGGCTTTTATATTCCTTCCCATTCCCAAGTCTTCGGCTCTGGTGGCTGCTTCTCCTCTAGAACCAGTCCCCAAATCCACTTCTCTCTTACTCTCCACCCCAATACCCCCACAAAGTCTGTTCCAAATGTAATACCCCATCTTCTTGGCCCTTATTCTGCGAACATTCTGTCCCTTGGTTGTGTACACTGCTTTGTTGCTGTCTCCGTAGCAAAAAGTCCATGTTTTTTGATAGGAGGGAATGGGGCGGGGGGCAAAGGGAAGTGGGGGAACAGGGAGAGGACTCATGTACTTGGCCCCTTTCTTGTCCACTAAGTAGCTATGTGTGGCTCCTTAGTACTCTTGGCACTGGCCCATGAGTCCATCCCAGACAATGTATTCCCACAGACATATGTAATTCTAGGATGAGCGGTCTGATCTCCCTTGTTCTCAAACTGGATTATGAGAACCAGCTTAATCTTTGCTTCCCTTCTTGCCAGATCTCCCTTGGTTTCTTTGGCTTTATTCCCATGGAAGTGATTTTTCCCCATCTATTCCACTGTTCTTGGATTGGGCACAGGGTCTCCCCTGGCTTCTTTAACTCCCCAACCAACTCCATCGTGACCTTCTCCTTAGCAAGGTTAAGCCAAGTGTAGAAGGGAGAAAGAAGGGCAGCAATTGTTGATTTGGACACGCTCTCTAAGCTAAGTAGATGTCATGAGATAAAAAAAAAAAAAAAAAGAAATGGCAGAAGTTCAGAGATTGAATACAACAAAAGGTAATGAGCACCTGCTCTGGTGAGGGGGCAGTGAATTCCAAGAGAAAGAGGAGGGGAAGCAAAGGTGGGTTTTGAAGGACAAGGGGGATTTTAACAAACAGAGATAGAGGAGGACGGGATGTTCTATGCACAAGGAATAACCTGAGTGAAAGGGAATAAAGTATAAAACGGGCTCAGGGAAGAGAGGTTGAATTTGGCTAGAACAGAGGGTACAAGCGAGGGCAGGGGGCAAGGTTGGAAATGCAGCTGGAGGTCCTGTTTTGAAGGTCTCAAACGCCTAGGTAGGGAGTTTATACCTATTTTTATTTTCTAGCAGTGGGGACTTGCCAAAGCCTTTGGAGCAAGACAATGACATAATCTGGGCCACATTTATGAACTCAACCTACCAGCAATAATGTGGGACAGACTGAAACAAGAGAGCCTAGGGGCAGGGACACTGGCTAAGAAGAAGCTGTCATGTTCAAGGCAGTTGGTACTGCAGGTCTGGGCCAAGCTGAGAGGATAATCGAGAGAAACACGTTTCGAGAAAGGACTTGTCACTGTCCACTGCGCAGAGAGGACAAGAAATAGGAGGACTAAATAAAAGCGGTTGGATTTGGTAATTACAAGTCACCAGTGACCCCTGAAAAAGGCGTTTCAGTGGGGTTTGGAAGCAAATGCAAAAAGGAACAGAGGCAGGGAGTCCCTCAGTAGTGACGACGTGGAGGTGGCAAGTGTGGACCCTTCTTCAAAAATCTGGCTGGGGGGGCACCTGGGTGGCTCAGTGGGTTAAAGCCTCTGCCTTCAGCTCAGGTCATGATCTCAGGGTCCTGGGATTGGGCCCCACATTGGGCTCTCTGCTCAGCGGGGAGCCTGCTTCCCCTTCTCTCTCTGCCTGCCTCTCTGCCTACTTGTGATCTCTCTGTCAAAATAGATAAATAAAATTTTTTAAAAATCTGGCTGGGGCTGGGTGGGGTGTTAAGACAGAACTATGGTTCAATGAAACGATCCAGCTTAGGATAGACAATGGGCATTGGCAATGGGCCCCATGAGTTTAAGACTTCCACTAGCACAAAGGTCCAGATTCCCAGATCAATGGAAACCTCGTGTCTCATCATTGACGATACAGACCGAGAAGGTAGAGAGGTGATGTAGGCTGATAAACTCTGAGTAGACACAGCGTTAGAAATCTGCGTTTCAAACTGTAATGCATTTCCATTCAAGCACAGGATTCCATGGGGAAAATGTTTTCTAACAAGTCCATGCAACCTGTTGCAACACTTGTCGTGAAACTAATAGCCTATACATAATTCATAGCGCTGAGCAGGACTAAGGGTCTCTGCTGTGTGTTCCTCATTTATGGCCCAGCACCAAAACTCGCAGCTTCTGTAAAGCCACCGAAAATGAAAATTAGGGCTGAACCCATAATTTGGGATCTGGTTTGACTATGGACCTTGGGGTTACCGTCACAATATGGCAAATGCTTCTTTTGCTCGGACCCCCTAGCAATTTGCAGAAAGCCAGCCCATTTTAACACCACAGAACGAGAAATGACAAGATGACTCTAATTTCAACCTTACTTCATTAATATGAAAATGCTTGGAAAAATAAATCTTTGGCTAATGAAAACACCATCTGTTGATGGCTTTTTGCCACTGTTTTCTTACATTACGAGACATAATTTGAGGAAAACCCCGAACATTTACTTACTCACTTCCTCTTTATTTGCAAGGAATGAAAGCCTCCTCTCAAACTGGAATTGATTCTCGATAATGAACATATGCAAAGGGAAGCGGAGAATTGCTGCAATTATGCATTCCGTTTCCTCACTCTTCCTTATCATGCCTGGCACTGGCGAATCATTTAGAACTAGAAATTAGGGGCCACTCTAGGCTCGAACGATTGCATTGATTTGGCCAAGTAATTCTCTTGCCTGTGCTCTGGCTAAGGAGACCAAGAGAACACATGTACGTATGTGTCTGTGTGTCAATGTGTGTGTGTGTGTGTGTGTGTGTGTGTGTGTACAGTCTGCTTATGGAAAATTAAACACATCTTTTTGTTGTTGTGTTGCTGTACTTTGGTTCTGAAACACGGGTTTGTTTTGTTCTTCTCTTGCGTCGTCCAGTGAATCCCTGGGCCCGGCTCCCTCTGTCCAAGCCTCATTAGCGTAGCTTTCTCAGAACAGCTGAAACACGACAAAGAGACAGCCAGAGTGGCAGGGGAGATTGGAATGGAGATATGTGCCTGGAGGAAACAGGGAGGAGGGGGAGGGGGGTGGGGGTGGGGGAATGGGAGGTTGGCAGGGAAGCAGGATGAAGCTCCCATTTCCTGCCACAAGAGGTTACCTCTGGGTCCTTCTGTGCTTCCCCTGTGTGAGGGTCAGAGAAGCCATTTGCACCGCGACACTGAGACCCTAGTCACCTCCAGATGACGACACCGTTACAGCTTCCATGGAATTGTATACGGGTCTTAGCAACGTAACCCAGGTTTTAAAAGGCCCAAGAGAGCTTAACTGACGGTCCACACCCATTCCGGTTTTTCATCCGAGTTCCGCTGCAGTTGTATCATGTAGACTTGGCCTGTTTGGGCTGAGTTCTACCCTTCACAAAAAGGAGAATGCTGGCCATTTCTGAGATACCAGGCACAGCCTAGTCTTCCAGGCAGCATCCCATAAAAAGAAATGGCTCCTTTAACCCTCTCAAATAATTGCTGGCGTGTTTGTTTTTTAAGATTTTTTTAATTTATCTGAGAGAGAGAGAGAGCAAGAGCACAAGCATGGGGGAGGGGCAGAGGGAGAAGCAGATTCCCCGCTGAGAAGGAGCCCAATGCAGGGGTCAATCCCCAGACCCCGGGGATCGTGACCTGAGCAGAACGCAGAGGCTTCGCCAACTGAGCCACCCAGGTGCCCCAATTGCTGGTTTTTATTATTTTTTTCCATGACTCTAGACACAGGTGGTTTCAGATAACTTTCTCACTGGCTCCCTCAAGTAACCAAGCTATCCGTCAAAACATTGCCTCGTCATTAAAGCCAGAGGTTCCCCTGATGGCACAGGCTCTCGACCACTATTGCCACCTGTCATGCTCCATGAAGGCACACGTGTTCACACATAGGTGAGCACACTGACACACCCCTACCTGACAACACTCGTCTTGAAGCCTAAAAAGGGGTGACGCCTGCCTGTACTATTTAAACCTGTCGAAGTGCCACCGGGTGCCTGCAAATTCTTTTGCTTTCTAAAAGG